TAATCCAGCCATGAAACATAGCATGCGTTGTACATTTGAGCAAATTGGATGAATACGCAGGAGGAAAAACAAAGAAATAATGAATAAAAAATACAGCACTTTTCTTATAAAGCATTTAAAAGTTCAACTTAAATGATAACTTTCCGATGTTGCACTTTCCCCCGCACTTTCTCCGTTCCGTTTTTGCTACTTGATGTTTGTTGCACGAGAGGCAAAGATCCAAAAATGAAACAGACTGGAACTAAAGGCCCATTGTTGAGTGTTTCAGAAATTTCTCAAAATTTCATGCAAACTGCCTTCGTCAAATTCTTCATCTGATGAAAAAAACATTTAAATTAAATTATTGCAAAAAAAGCATCTTGCCAATTGCTCAGCGATAACTATGTGGAAAACCGGCTTGTAAACTGCAACAAGTGCCCGGTTAGCTCAGTCGGTAGAGCACCAGACTCTTAATCTGGCTGTCGCGGGTTCGAGCCCCGCATCGGGCTGCAGATTTTGCCCCATTTTTGAAATTTTTTTCGAGGTTGTATACCGCCGAAAGCAAAGCCCTTTTTAATATGGTGGAGAAATGAGGAAAATGACCCAATGGAAGATGCCACGCTCAACATTCTGTTTGAAAAATGCGGATCTTTAGGAGTGAGCCAGAGCGATTAGGGTCATTTTGCCAACGGCAACCAAGTCACTGATTCGGCCGTCGACGTTTCCTTTTTTTTAGAACTGCGTAAAAGCCTCCAAATAACGTACTGCCTAGCGCGCGCCTTAAATAATCTTCCATCAAAATAATTTATGAAAGGACTCGATTTCTCACTTTGAAAATTATGTCTAGGAATTGCACTGTCACGCCAGAACTTTTTGATGTGTTTAAGCGACTCAGAAAGTGTTCATTGTTTTCCAGTGCGTTATTTCCAATAAAATGAGCATATTGTGACGACCCGTGGTGTGCGCGTGTCTGTGTATGTCTGCCTGGATATTTCATCTCGGCAACCAAGCAAGCTCCGGCGCCAAAATTTTGCCAGTGGTTCCCCGTCCAAGTGCGATCCCAAGACCAAGGTACCAGCCCTTACACACATCCGAGCCCCACGTACGAGCACGTGAAAGATTTGATGGGAAAATCGCTAACTCAGGAACCAGATAAGATGGAAGGCTGAAATTTTAAGGGGATGTTCTCAGATTAAGTACAATTTAAAAATTTCAAATTCATCCCTACGTGCTTGCGGTTCTCACGTACGACGCCGTGAAAGTTTCTGGTGGAAAAATTGCTAACTGAAGAATCAGAAAAGTCGGAAAGCTGAAATTTTAACGGAATGTTTCTTGTCCAAGTATTGCGTTTTTGCCCGATTAATTTCCTGAACTTCGAAAAATAGGTATTGATGGTTTTTTTGCATGTACGCATGTTTTTGTG